TCTACGTGGACAGCCGCAAGAGGGTAGCCGGCTCGGACAGCGACTTCAAGGTAGACCTGGGAGAGTCCCTGCACCTGCAGAGCGACGTCAGGCTGGCTGTCTACAAGATCAGAATCGCCAACAGTTTCCTCTCGACGGATCGCGGCCGCTACCTCTACTGGGTTGACGCCGCGCTTGGGACTCTGAACTGGGCTCTCCTTCCGGAAGGTGCGTACACGGGCTCCCGGCTGGCCGCCTGGATCAGCTCCAACTTCGCTACTGCCACGTATAGCGAGACCACGAACCTCAGCGTAGCCTACGACGGCAACCGCCTCATTCTGAACGATCTGGAGCTGCAGCAGCAGTTCCCAGACGCTGTGGACTACCCCACCTCGCCGGCCGCCTCTCCGAGCAAGCCCTTCAGCATCGACCACATGCTAGGCCCCAGCTTCGTCTGTGGCGGGCAGCAGGTCTTCGAATTCGTGCGCATGATGGCATACAGCGAGGTCTACCTGCGCTGCCCCCAGCTGGCCAACGCCAGCCGCGTGCTGGGCAATCTGGGGGACGACATCCTGTCCAAGATAACGCTGAATTGGGCATCATCGTGGAGACCGGCTCCGATGACGGGCACTTCATGGCCGTTAGGGGCCCCGTCACCCTGAGACACTTGCGCTTCCGGCTGACAGACCTGGAAGGCCAAGTCGTCCGACTGAGGGGCTCGTCCTTGTCCTTCGTGCTGTTTTTTGGATCACGTCTAATCCCCCGAAGGTCTTTTAAAAAAAATATTTTCTATTAAAAAACCGATGAAGCAAGCGCAACCGGCGCCAAGGCCTAGAGGCAGACCTCCGGGTAGTAAGAACAAGCCCAAGCCGCCCGTGCTGCCCCTGCCGAAGAGCAAAAAAATGATCCCTGACCTGCCCACGGAGCCAGCGTATGAAATGGACTCCGAGCGCAGGGGCGTCGAACGCGCAGCGGGCGAAGTTGCCGCGCAGTAACGGATAAAAGAGATGAAGACGCTTCGGGCCCACGGCTTCAGCCAGCGCCCGCGCTTCGAGCAGGTTGTGGGCTACCTGGAGCGGAATGAGCCGGAGCCACTCTTCGTGCAGTCCAGCGAGGACCCCAACCCGCAGCCTCTACAGCACACGCCCCTGAGGGCGATTCCAGAGGAAGGCTTCCGCACTCCCGCAGAGGCCACGGACGAGGACTTGGCCCGGATGCGCCAAGGCGGAGGAAGCCGCTTCGGCGAGGACGACCTGGCTGGAGACCCAGAGGGCGACGCGCTGACGAAC